CTCTCTCTCTCTCTCTCTTTCTCACTCTTTCTCTCTATATTTATATCTATTTGTAGAGCATTTTTTATTAAAATATGTGAAAGGGGGCTGCTCATAGCTGAGAGTATAAAAGTATGTATCATACCATATTTTGAAGGCCTTCATCTGCCATGCTAAGGAGTTTAGATTTACATTGTGTTATATCAAGATTTTTAAACAACCCTTTGACAATTGTAAAAATATGCCTATAAGGCATACTAACAATTATATAAAGTGTAAGTGTTATATGATGATTATTTGACTTAGAGCTTTGAGAAGGGAAAAAACTGTTTAATTAGCTTTATATTTTTAGTATCTATTCGGAATTTTGGACTCCAGATGTGGCACTGTGGGATAAACACTGATCTGGGAACTACAAATCTACAGTCCAAACCCACTAGCTGCTCCACAGAAATGGTAACTATGAGTCAGAACCAACTCAATAGTACTTAACAACAACAATTCAGATTTTAAAATATAAATTACTTTTAATTCTTTTCAGAAATATGGGTTAGACATTTCCCACATTCTGTGTCACTTTAACTGCTAGTGATTTAGTTTAGCTACTTTTATGTGTGTTATATTTCATAATAACTTCCTACTTTCATAAAAACCCTGTTTTTTAAGCAAAGGCTTTGAAAATGATGTTGCTAAGCACTGGCTGGAGGCCTGGGATGGCACTGTAGGCTAAGCCCTGGACTGCTAACCACAAAGTTGCTGGTTCAAAACCATTCCTTGGAAACCCTACACAGGGTCACTATGAGTCAGTCGAGTGGCTGGCCCAGCAGCGCACTGATGAGATGTAGATTGTGTTATTTATACTATAGACCTGTTGTGGGAACTTTCAACACTTATCACTGTCAGACTTTTCCAGGCTTTTGTTGCAGGTGTTTTAGGAAATCAAGGTGGTAAGGGCTGGTTCATGGAAATGATAATGTTAGAGTTCAACAACTAAAATTTACAGTAAAATGTGACTTTTTGAAGTAAAAAAAAATAGCAACCTTTCATTTTTCAAGTTATTTTCTTTTAACACTTTTTCTTATAATTTTATTTTGTTGAAAAAATATACAAGAACACTGAGACAGGTTTGTATGGGCTAAATGGGAGAGAGGTAATTAGTGATGTGTGCTCAACCTAAAAAAAAAATATATATATATATATATGTATATATACACACACACACCAAGTTTCTACATGTATAGTTTAGTAACATTGATTACATTCTTTGAGTTGTACAATCATTCTTTTCAGTTAATTCTTATAGCACAGATATTTAAAGGATGACTATGTATC